CAACTTGTCGGCTTATTCTTAGTTTTTTCGGTAAAGTCACGTTTGCTGCCTGCTGGGACATCACTTTACCGAAAAAACTAAGAATATGAATTACTGCAGTCACGAAAGCTTTAAATCAAAACTTGTCGGCTTATTGCTATTTTTACTCTGCACAACGACGCTCATGATTATTTTTAGTTCTGTGTAGTATAATTACGCATCAAACTGGGACCCCCAAATCGTCAATAGAGGTCCCTGTCTGTACGATTGGCAGTTCACCAGCACTGATTCAAGAAAGCCTGACTGCTGATGAGACGATGTACGTTTAAAGCTCAACATCACCAACATTAAACCGTGTAATTATGCGGAGACAATGTGGGTACAATGACACCAGTGTTCAATATAAATATATTTAATTGTAAAATGTGCAATGCATTGTATCAAACATTTTGTCAACACATACAAATCTTGTGTTACTCTGTTGCAGCAGTTAGAGTGGAGGAGGAGAATATTATTGCTGATCATACCAATTGTTGTTGAAATCTATTACATTTTCATCTAAATTGTCAAATGGTTTCATAATTATCATTGTATATCATATACAGTGTTTCAGACTCAAGGCTATCCAACAAAATGGACTTTTCACTGAAGAGTTATCTGCAGATTGCTGTATTCCATGCTGGCTTCACAAAATAAAGATATCGCCTTGGTGAAATGTTTGAAATATATATTTTCCCAAAATAAATGTGTTTCCAGATGTCCCTTGTGAATACACAAGTATCTTTCAGAGGATGTTATGGTTAAAGCTGAAAAAGAACCATCCCAATGTCTGACTTTCAAACACAAGCTTAGCTTGAAATATGACTCAAGTATGTGAAGTTAAGTTAACAAACAAAACTGCACTTAATGCTCAACTAGTATTCAATTGTATTTCATCTGGTGTATTTCGTCTTAAGGGACGCTGCTGCGGTGTAATGGTTAACAAACGAGACTTGCAATCCAGAGGTTGCCGGTTTGATCTCCTTGCTGGACAGTTGTAACAATGAGGCTGATTTTTAGAACCCCCTTGCCTCTCTCAACCCAGCAATGGATACACCACAGTTTGTAGAATGATAGGTCACGTGTGGTACGATCAAGTGTGGGTACTCTCAACGTTTCAAAGGCGTCTGGCCACCGTGGAAGAGTAGGCCACATGCAGTACCTTTTAGAAGGGGCTATCAAGAGCTTGCTCAAGCGGAGGCCATTCAGGGAAACTCCTACAACTGTCTCGAAACACTCACACTATAGATTGAAAGCAGCAACAGAGCGTATTGTATAAATAAAGTGTGCAGGCTACCCTCTGAAACATTCAGAAAATTGCTGAAAGTCTTACATTTGCAAGGGCAGTTCATTTTGGTTTCTGCGGTTTGAGGATGGCAATGTTTAATGACTTCTTCTGGAACAGTCCTCAACTTCACACAATTGGGAACAATGTCCAATACACACGCAGAGGGGGCTACGGCACAGGAAGCGTTAAACAAACCTTAAACAAATGTTAAAAGTTCAACAGAATGAGTAATGTGATCTGGATTTGCCTCTCTTGCATTCTACTCTCTCACCCCCGAAGCATATTCGGAAAAGCGTTCCCATCCCTTAAGTATAATACTCTAATTGTAAATGTTGTGGGTTTACTCTCCAACAGACCGATGTGCTGAACTAGTAACGAATTGGCATGTTTTTGATTACGTGACAACCCTTACGAATTGGCTGTCGGGCGGTGGCGGGTTGAACGACACATTCATATTTACACGATCTAAACGAAAACCCTCTAAAGTATTATGAATTATAATACCGGACATAATTTAGAAACGGGGTTGGGGGTTCAGCAGGGGAGCTAAGCCCCCTACATCCCCCATAGCCCCCCCCCCCCCCCCCCGACACTATGAGGCCAGTACAACCCCAGTGGTCCTCATGGACTGCCTCTAAATGAGAGTCAGCACGGCGGTGGGGGCAGTGTTGTCCATTGGGGGGGGGGGGGGGGTCACATCACCGCCACCACAACCCCCCCCCCCCAGACTTCCCATGGAATCGCCCGTGAGTCGTCCGTCTCTCCACCCCAAAACGAAAAGCCGCTCCGCACTCCGCACACGGCGCGGTGCTGGTGGTGCGGTGACGCCTTGGGGCGAAGCCTCCACTCCGGGGTGTTGCACAGCGCACCAAGCACGCGCGCGCCTCTGGTATGACGTTGGCCGGGCTCAGCACGTGGTGGTGATGGTGGTAGTGGTGATGGTGGTGATGGTGGTAGTGGTGATGGTGGTGGTGATGGTGGTGGTGGTGATGGTGGTGGTGATGGTGGTGATGATGGTGGTGATGATGGTGGTGATGGTGGTGATGGTGGTGATGATGGTGGTGGTGATGGTGGTGGTGATGGTGGTGATGATGGTGGTGGTGATGATGGTGGTGATGGTGGTGGTGATGGTAGTGATGGTGGTGGCGATGGTGGTGATGGTGATGATGGTGGTGATGATGGTGGTGGTGGTGATGATGGTGGTGATGGTGGTGATGGTGGTGGTGGTGATGATGATGGTGATGATGGTGGTGATGGTGGTGATGGTGATGGTGGTGATGGTGATGGTGTTGATGGTGGTGATGATGGTGGTGGTGATGGTGGTGATGATGGTGGTGATGATGGTGGTGATGGTGATGATGGTGGTGATGGTGGTGGTGATGGTGGTGATGGTGGTGGCGATGGTGGTGATGGTGATGGTGGTGATGGTGATGGTGGTGATGATGGTGGTGGTGGTGATGATGGTGGTGGTGGTGGTGATGGTGGTGGTGATGATGATGGTGGTGATGATGGTGGTGATGGTGGTGATGGTGATGGTGGTGATGATGGTGGTGATGATGGTGATGGTGGTGGTGATGATGGTGGTGATGATGGTGGTGATGGTGGTGATGGTGATGGTGGTGATGGTGGTGGTGGTGATGGTGGTGGTGATGGTGGTAGTGGTGGTGATGGTGGTGGTGATGGTGATGATGATGATGGTGGTGATGGTGGTGATGGTGGTGATGGTGGTGGTGATGGTGGTGGTGGTGATGGTGATGGTGGTGATGATGGTGGTGGTGGTGATGGTGGTGGTGATGGTGGTGGTGATGGTGGTGGTGGTGGTGATGGTGGTGATGGTGGTGATGATGGTGGTGGTGATGGTGGTGGTGGTGATGGTGATGGTGGTGATGATGGTGGTGGTGGTGATGGTGGTGGTGATGGTGGTGGTGATGGTGGTGGTGATGGTGGTGGTAGTGGTGGTGATGGTGATGGTGATGATGGTGGTGATGGTGGTGGTGATGGTGGTGATGGTGGTGATGGTTATCAGCCGCCTCTTGGCCCCCCTCTGGCTCCCTGCGTGACCCGCGTGTCCGTGCCGCCCTCTGTGAGTGACCTGCAGGGACGACGATTGGACAAGCAGGAGAAGTAGTCAACGGGTCTGCGTTATTGTTACACTGGGATGGTGGAGCTCTTCTTGGCGGTGCAGCAGTGGACATTACACATTGCTATGGTTGACAACTGCGTGTCTATGCTGTTTGATGCTCATCGATTGGTTATCTAAATGTGGTATCTGTAGTATTGGCCCTGTGAGGATGATTGGCTGATTGACCCAGGATTGAGGTTTGTAATTACTGTATAATCTTCTCAACGTCAGTGTTTCTATACGCGAGACAACCTAATAATGTAGACCGGAGACATTTATAATGTATTGGTCTGTCTGAAGGTGTAATGTGCACCATCCTTTGTCCTTTATAATGTCTTGTGATGACTCACTCACGTCTGAATTTATGTGATGTCGGCACGCACGCTAGACTTGAGCTCTGAACAAAAGGACCTCATTAAAGCAGCTTTACAAAGTGTGATGTCTTAATAGATCACTATTTAAGAACGGGATGCCCATTCTAACAATGAACAAAAATATCCATTTGCTAAAAAAATATCTTGTTTACTGTTGCGTTTCCTACTAAATATTTGTTGATGGGAAAAAAAACTGGGCAAGCATCAGGTGAAAACTGTTCATAGCATTTCTTTGAAATGTTGAAGCCACCGCAGTACAAAGTGATACACCGGACGTCAATGCAAGTCAATATTGTGAATATTTCTCAACAGAAGAGCCTTGCAGAGAGAGTTACTGCCATCGATGATCGTGGGGCATGACTCACCCACATCGTGGCTCGCTCCAGCAATGTTATTTGTACTGTACAGGGTGGTCCAAATGTCTTGTGATCCGCCAATGTAATCCTCTAAAGCTTCATATTTCAAAGTAGGGTTTATTTTAAACGGAAATAAGTATGCAAAGGGAAAAGACAAATGTTAGGGGTAAATTAATTGGCGGTCACAAGACATCTGGACCATTCTGTTTCGAGTAGCGCTCATTGTACACTTTTTTGTTCTTTCAACATTTTCAACTTGGAAGTGCCAGTTCCATTACGCGCTTGAAACAACATCGCTGCCTGAGTCTTGGCTGCCAACAATCCTCTCTCTCGTCCCGTGTTTGTTTGTTTCAGACGTCGGCATTGCGAACGGGCTCAGTGACGCGGCCCATTGTCCTCCCCACGGGAGAAGGCGTAGAGCGAGAGAGACACAAATCCCACCCTGCTCGTGCCTGGCTCTCAATAATTTAGACCTCACAGCCGCCGCCGCTCCCAACCCGCGGATTTAAGTTGCACGCTTAGGTGGTGGGTGGCGGTGGGCACCTCGCTGGCCGTCTCTCTCCCTTCTGCTTCCCCCTCGGTTGGGTGGCTGGGTGGTGTTGGTGTTGGGTGGTGTTGGTGTTGAGTGGTGTTGGTGTTGGGGGTGGCTGGGTGGTGTTGGTGGTTGGGGGTGGCTGGGTGGTGTTGGTGGTTGGGGGTGGCTGGGTGGTGTTGGTGTTGGGGGTGGCTGGGTGGTGTTGGTGGTTGGGGGTGGCTGGGTGGTGTTGGTGGTTGGGGGTGGCTGGGTGGTGGCTGGGTGGTGTTGGGGGTGGCTGGGTGGTGTTGGTGGTTGGGGGGGAGGGAGTGGCTGGTCGGGAGGCTGGGCCATGTGAACCGCGTGCGTCTGCAATTTGGGGTGGGTGGTGTCCCGGTCGGAGGATGAAGGAGCAAAAATGCCCTGCCCCTCCTCACCGCCAGTCATAACTCGTTCCCCCCTCCTTCGCGAGTGCGGCTGCCTGCGTCTCGGCGAGCGACTTCGCCACAGGGAATTGCGCCCGCGTCCTCGCCTCCAGGCGACGGCACAATTCGAGAGGACCTCGCGCAGATTGGAAGGTGAACGGCCGCGTGTGTGAGTGATGATGTTGTGTGATGTTGATGTTGCGTGCGCAGCAGCGGTGGAAATTACTTTACTGGCAGAGGTGGAGGACAAGACACATTGGTTTTACGCTTGTGAAATAAGTCTGTGACATCTTCCGTCTCGTGTGAATGTGAATTCGCTTGTTAATTTGGTTCCTGGGAGAGTTGAGTCGACATGAATGTCTCTCTAATCGGTTCGTTGCTCCGTATCTGCGTGGTGTGTACAACGCATCGGTGTTGATGAGACTGCAGCGGCATGGCCTTATAATACTCGGTTCGGGGTCAATTCAATATAATGGTATCGTAGTATATCGAGGTAATTACATGTACACACATTTTCTAATGGAAAAACATTTAAATGTAAACCGTAAATGCAGAATTGTCAAGTTGATTTACAACTACGGTACCGTTCACATAAGAGCATACGAGCAATGTGGTTTATGTGTCGTAGATTATCGATGTTCCTTACATGGAAGCTAAATATAGTATCTGTGGGTGAGCGTGCGGCACACAGAGTCGCACTAGAGTGGCTTTCTTTGGGGATGGAACGATGCATCAAATCAGCGACGATGTACGAATACCTAAGCTCACCCACGTGCCATAACGTTTTCATCGGTGTTATATCATCGATATATGGACATTGCCAAAAAAAATTGTGTAAAGGCTGAACGTGTGCAAAAATTTCATTGCAAAGTAAGGAGGCGCTTGTTTAGAATTACAGAGAGAGGCAAAAGGAGCACAATATACAAGTTACATCATCATATTGACTAAGTACAGGAAGTGGGATTGAGCAGAACATGCTGCTACAAGGGATGATGGCTGGTGGTCGAGATTAATAGCAGCCAAAGGCGCGAACACGCAAAGAGTGGATGTCCACCAGGGAGATGAAGCAACGACATCAGCTTCTGCACAAGAGCGAGGTCGATTATTGCTTCTAAAGACCGTTCGGGATGGCGAGGCTTCGGGGAGGCCTTCATCTAGCAGTGGATAGATAATGGCCGATTATAATAACGATAAGTTTTATGTAATGGGGTTCACATCACCGCAGCATCCACTGGAGGTGCTACTATTCACCACAACGTTTAAAGGAACATTATTGAATCAAACCACAAGCTTTGGTCGCGACAATTAATCTAATTCGTCGTGGGCATTGTATTTGTTGAACCCCTGGGTAAAAGATAAAAGCGCAGCCCTCCACATTCTTAATCTGTGCAACTGCTGCTGGTGGAGGAGTCTCCACAAAAGGCGGCACCTCTAGAGAGGCCTTCCAGAAGGTGCTCACTCCTGCATAGACGTGAACACTCTCTAGAGAGCTCCCTCCAGAAGGTGCTCACTCCTGCATAGACGTGAACACTCTCTAGAGAGCTCCCTCCAGAGGGTGCTCACTCCTGCATAGACGTGAACACTCTCTAGAGAGCTCCCTCCAGAGGGTGCTCACTCCTGCATAGACGTGAACACTCTCTAGAGAGCTCCCTCCAGAGGGTGCTCACTCCTGCAGAGACGTGAACACTCTCTAGAGAGCTCCCTCCAGAGGGTGCTCACTCCTGCAGAGACGTGAACACTCTCTAGAGAGCTCCCTCCAGAGGGTGTTCACTCCTGCATAGACGTGAACACTCTCTAGAGAGCTCCCTCCAGAGGGTGTTCACTCCTGCATAGACGTGAACACTCTCTAGAGAGGCCTTCCAGAGGGTGTTCACTCCTGCATAGACGTGAACACTCTCTAGAGAGGCCTTCCAGAGGGTGTTCACTCCTGCATAGACGTGAACACTCTCTAGAGAGCCTGTCCAGAAGGTGTTCACTCCTGCATAGACGTGAACACTCTCTAGAGAGCTCCCTCCAGAGGGTGCTCACTCCTGCATAGACGTGAACACTCTCGAGAGCTCCCTCCAGAAGGTGTTCACTCCTGCATAGACGTGAACACTCTCGAGAGCTCCCTCCAGAGGGTGTTCACTCCTGCATAGACGTGAACACTCTCTAGAGAGGCCTTCCAGAGGGTGTTCACTCCTGCATAGACGTGAACACTCTCTAGAGAGCTCCCTCCAGAGGGTGCTCACTCCTGCAGAGACGTGAACACCGTCTAGAGAGCTCCCTCCAGAAGGTGTTCACTCCTGCATAGACGTGAACACCGTCTAGAGAGGCCTTCCAGAAGGTGTTCACTCCTGCATAGACGTGAACACTCTCTAGAGAGGCCTTCCAGAGGGTGCTCACTCCTGCATAGACGTGAACACCGTCTAGAGAGCTCCCTCCAGAGGGTGCTCACTCCTGCATAGGCGCATGATTTATTACAGCCCCTTATTTTTTATTATCATTTTTTATTTCACTACACGGGATATATATTTTTACAGCGATGGCGTAAGCTGGGTGTTGGTTTTTACTTCTTTTTTTTAACCAGAAATGCATTTTTAAGAAGTACAGTACACCGAAACTGCTCGGATGGAAGTTCTGGCGGCAAACGCATCAACTCATACAGAAAGAATCGTGGTTGAAGGGGCAAAGTGCCTGTAATAAACAAGGGGGGGGCGGGGGTCTAACGATGTGTTTTTTCATTGATTGATGTTTGATTCTTAAGCTCGCCAATCACAAATTGATTTGTGGGTATAAGAAATTACATTTATCGAGTCATGTATGTTGTATAGAATGTTTCATATCACTATTGCAACCAACCGGGTGCTGCTACAATCATGGTAATCTTGATTTGAAGCTTTCGTGACTGCAGGAATCCACACTCTTTGTTTTTTTCGGTAAAGTCAGCTGGTTCAGCAGTTCCACTGCTGGATTATCATTCCGCCTGAGGACGACCGCTTGTGTTGCGATCGAAACGTCGTGATATTTTATTTTTTGTTTTAATTTAATTTTTTTGCCTACGTGATTTTACCGAAAGAACCAAAGAGTACTCATGGTAATGTTAAAATAGTATTGATGTTTGATTTTATAGATCGAATAACAACCCTGAATTATATCAATCAATTTTATTGGGAGCGAAATGTTACATGCCTAGTTCCTGACCGAAGAGGGGCACGTTGGGAAGCACAACTTGGCCACAACTTGGAAGTCTTCAGCCAGCCACCGCATCCCGTGATATTTCCATGACCGTCAGGTCGCCCGCCGTTGACCGCGTCTCTCAAATGTCCTCTTCTCCGTCCACTGTCTCACTGTTGCCCAGCTCAAGGTTTGCCTTGCAATGCGGTTCTCGTCCATATGATGCAGACAATTTAATCGTCTCTATCATCTCTTTCTGTTTGATATCCTCCACCTTTGATCATCCGGTTTTTTTCCTGACCTCTCTGTTGGTGACCCTGTCCTTCCATACTATTCCCAGGGTTATTCTCGCCATCGGTGGCGGTGCTGGTGCGCTTGCCTCAAGACCTCCATGTTTGCCCACTACAAACCCACAGCAAAAGCTATGGGTTTGTATAATCTCATCTTGGTGGCTTGTACTCATTCCCTTGCGTTTACAGATGTTATTTGGCCTTCCCTGCCGAATAATATGTCAACAAAGGAGCTGTTCAGAGACAGAGGGAATAAGAATTGGGTTTGCTCATGAAAAAGGTCAAGGCAACCTAATGTTCATCTTACTGCGTACATATTTACAGTCAATCGGTTTCCTAAACACTTCCAATTAGCAAAGTTGGCCATGTACGGTGCGGCAGAAGTTCAACATACATACAGCAAAACTAATATGAAATCTATAATACAATGCAGCAAAAAGAAAGTCAAACCACCACAAGCTGAGATTCAACTATACATAGTAATCCATGTATAGATACTCCACTCTTTTCCATTGACCCACTTCTCACCAGGTGATCGAATATTGTAAAAGTGATGGCTTCATACCGTCAAAAGGAGAGGGTGTTAAGAGATTTAATAAATGTGTTGAGATCGGTGTGAGATGTATAGGGGCGTTGAAATTAAATATTTTATATATAATTTCTCCCTCTTAAAAGTATTTTTAGTGAGGTATATATACACTGATGTGTATTTCATATTAATTGCTTCTAAAGTTGCAGATAACACGAGTTAAATTTGAAAGGCCGATTTAACCTCCTTTTGTCTCCACTGTATTCCCAATTAAATTTAGTTTGTTAAAATTATTTAATGAATTAAACTGACGTTAATCTTAAGTAATATAAGTACATATAAAACAAATTCAAATGTATAAGCCTTAGGGCCATGTGAACGCATACTTGTCATTATTTTGGCCAGCACGCCTGATTTCCATGTTATATAACAAAGCACCTATACTTTATAAATGAGAAGAAATAATTAAGAAATGTAGTCATGAAAGGCAAATCTGGCCTTGCAAAAATATGCATTGCTTTCTTGGGCCTTGCAGAATGATTTGAAATGTTGTTTAGCCAAGCATTTTAGCTGTTCTGTTTAAAGGGTAAGACACATGACTGTGAATTGTAATATGGAAAGACATTTAATAACATTTAGAACACATAATTTAAGTCGTGAAAAAGGATATCTACGTTTACGTCAGAGCTGGAAAATGTTCAACTCAGTTGAACCAAACTCCATGGAACAACAATAGTAGGTTTTGATTTACAACAAAGATAAAGTTCCGAACCATAATTTTTTTTTAAAGCTAAATGAAAGGAAACAGCTTGGACAGGGAAGAGGCTTTTCCAAACAGCAGCAGCGGGACACTGGGAAACCCATCGTCCATTGTTTGCGAGCTGCCTCATTGGAAGATAATTCCACGCTTTTGGATTGCCGGTGCTTTGGTTGGCAGAAGTTGGGCATTGAATGCAAATGATGTCAATGTACAGCGTAATTCCGTAGCCCACCTGTTTGCTTTATCCAAAAGCAAGCAGAGGCACAATCGTAAAAGAGGACAGCACCCAGCATTACTTACGTCTTTTTGTTTTCTAACCACCAAAAGCAAACACCGTTTGACATTTATTTGGAATTGTATTGGAGAATTCCCATTACAGGGGTGGAGCGGTGGTGTTGAGATTCGCACCAGTGGTTAAATCAGACATTTAAAACTGCATCATGATTTAGGTGAGACAATGCGAATAAAATCCACGTTCCCCTTTGGTTCCTCATGTGTGCCATGAAGTGGGAAATAGGTCGCTTGGGATTTCCCCCCCCCCCCCACAATTTAATCGCTGGTTATCCCACCGCACGATCAATCCAGCAACTTGAATTTGATTCCCACCCAAGGCTAACTAACAACAGCGAAGCGCGGTATCTGAACAAACCGTCAACCGCCTCTTTCACCAACTGACACTGATCAGCATGGTGAGGTATGGGCCAACAAACCCCATTACCAATACACTGTTAAGAGCTCTTCATCCAGCAGTGGATTGGCAAAGGGCTGTAAATTATTTTGTATTGCTCTTGATGTTACCAAACTCATGTGCTGCTGTGGCGTGTCCTGGATAATAGATTCCTATCAATAACGTCGGGTAAAACCAGCAGTGCTTGTTTTGCGAGTCTAAGTATAACTCTCATGATGAGACTCAGAAGGTCAAAGCCGGTCCAGAGTTTCCATGTTTAAAAAATGCTGCTGGTAATCACAATTCTGGAAGGCCAATAGGCTGATAGACTAAAAACATAAATTGGAATTACAGAATGAAGGCAGTGCCGGACTAAGCTAGTGCGGGGCCTGTGGCATATGTTATAAAGGGGCCCTAAATAAAAAAAAAACATGTAAATATTAAAACACAAATGTTTAACTTGCACGGTAAAGTAATTGCATTTTTTCATTTGCTATACAGCAAGATAATACGACAAATCGCTAACATTAAACACCCATTCGTTCATAAAAGTTGAAGGCAGTATAGTACTATAGTAATAGAGCAAGTGCAGAATCACTGAACCGGAATTGATAGCTTGAAACCATTTAGCGCGGGCCCTTGAAAGTGCGGGGCCCGTAGCTACACGTGTAGCTACTTTTGCTACGAGGATAATCCGGCACTGAATGAAGGTCAATGTATTGTATTACCATATATGGTAACAAATGGATTTAAACAGACAACTACCATATCTGTGCCAAACATGGTTTGCTAATTTTGTTGTGAGTCATTGAATAATTTATGCTCAATGTTTCCTGCCTAATTGAGTCCCACTTTGCTGACACTTTCCCCTGTACTCCACATGTGTCGTGGAGGTCTCGGCGTTGTTCTTTACAACAAGACACCGCCACAGTTTTGCATTTTTGAGAAGACTTTAAAAGTATAAACAAATTGTTTGTGGCAGGCTGAAATTTATTTCTCACACCACTGCTGGTATCAGGGCCTCCACTAGACGGAGCTCTCAAGCGCCCCTTTTAAGGTGCATTTTGGCCTATTACCCCACCACAAACGACCTTGCTGGTGGACTAACTGTGGTGTCCTTATACGGCTGGGTGGATAGAGGTGGGCTGGTGTATTTAAGAAACCTGCACTATTCTTTCAACTGCTGGTAGACAGAACCCCCCACGACCTCTGAATTGCAAGTCTGGTTTGTGAACAGCAACTGAAGCACATTTTTTCATGACGTGCGCTTTTATTTGTTGAATTAACTTGAAGTACTCGAGTCAGATTTTGAGCTAAGCGGGTGTTTGAAATTTAAATATTGGGATGGTTCAGATTTGATCACACAACTAACTACGGACTCCCATCTGAAAAATGCGTGTGTATGCTCAAAGGACATCTGGAAAAAATGTATTCAGCGATTTTTTTTATGACTAGGACAGTGACGTGACTAAGGGAAGTGGATTTGGCTTAGCAACGTGCGTGGTGCGGGAAAAATAAACAATAATACAAAGGGTGAACACCCCCGCTTCAGCAGGGCTACTTTTCAGAACCTCGTAGACACGACTTCGCTCGTGTAGGCCTTGTATATAAATGCAGAGTAGTGACTTTAATCTTTCTATCACCCACAAATACAATCTTCCTCGTCACTGCAAAACAAGATAATGTTGAAAAAGTTCATCGTAAAAATATATCCGTGGCTGGCGTCAGCACAGATTTGTCACACACACACGCACTCAGTTCTTTATTACAAAGGCTGCCTGCGAGTGGAAGAGCTGGTTTTTGGTGTTTTGTGACGGGAAGCGGCTGAAAACACGTTGCGTTCTTTCACAAGCTTATCGTACCCCCTGGCATGTTCCGATATTAATTATTTTAGTATCCATTTTACAAAAAAAACATTTGTGAAATGGATAACGAAAAGCAGCGTTGTGTGCATACACGCAGGAATTTCGCCATTGGATACCCGCATATAATATCAAGCCACGCTTTTGTGTGCTATACGGTCAAAATGTGAACTATGATATGCGTTATATTTATTAATGAAGACTGCTATGGCAACCAGAAGTATAAACCTTCAATCTGGCCAGGAGGTTGCGAGCAGTTAAAATCCTCATTGGGTATTGCCTTGGTCCATCACCTCTCTGGGTTCGATTAAACGAGTTTCACGTTGCGGAGAAATAAACAGTGGTTGTCCTAGTGATAGATACCCCCCCCCCCCATCATCATTTGAATGTGGGATTTCCACGACTGGCTCAGCACTGTAAACAATAGATTGACACCACCTCTATGCTCACTTGAGCAATCTCATAGGCTTTGAAATGTGTAGACGTTGCAATGTGTATTCCACTTTTCCCTGAAAGTCTGCATGTTAACCTTCGTGTGCGCTGTCTCTTAGGTTACGTCTAACATTTAAGAGTACATTGCCCATTGGGTGGGGTGCGACTGAGTTTTGCGACGTGTGTGAGTAATATTAGCAGACAGGAATAGCCAAACACTTGTTTGACAACTTTAAGTGTGTGCTTTGGCAATTACATCACCAATAATTGAGAGTACTGCTGCTTTGGGTTTTTGTTAGCGGCCGTGCTGTATGGCTATATGATGTGTATTCAGTTTTTACCGAGGGCGGGCAGTAACAACCCAAAATACACAGCCGAGAGCAATGGGGGAAACCTTCCAGAGAGTTCCTGTTTGATTACACATTCCAGTTGATAATCGCGCCTTTCCCAACGTGGTGTGCTTTATGTATTGATTTAATTGTTCGAGTACGGTGTAAACATAGACAATAACATATTGCACAAAATATGTTTCTGTTGGACACAGCGTTCGTCGGAAACATTGCACAGTTTGCATGTCTAAACATTTTTTGCAGACTGCCTGATGCACGGGGAAAACATAAAATGTTTAATTCAAGGAAGGATGGAAGAAGAAGAGCTGGGATCTTTTGAAAGTATAAAGATGATTGGATGAGGACTATGGATGAGTGGCAGACAAGAAGTCGTGGACAAGTTGGTTTTTAACAAAAGAAGAAGAATGGAGTAGTGGATTGATGTCGTCAGACACTGGGGCAAATGATAATGGGGGGTGAGGAAGGAGAGGAGAAAAACATACGGCGTCTGCATGGTGAATCACCTAGCCAGGAGTGTCTTCAATTCGTGAAGAAGCTCCTTGCGCGTGGTGTGAAACGTTGGACACCGTGTTGAACGACACACGCTGTGACGCTGTGCAACCCAACAACGCATCCCAGAGCTATGAAGCACAGCCGCGAAAACTGACGCAGGAGCGGAAACTGACGGGTGTTTGACTTGTTGATTTTACATTTCTTGACAGGCAGCAGCAGTGCTTGCCCCCCTGGTGAAGTGGCGAGCGGAGCTGCCATGCCAGTCGGCAAACCCATCTATCTCAAGACCCCCTTGTCGAAAAGGGGCCGCAAGGTTCACCTCCGGGATATCCTCACACCGGAGATGATCAGCTCCCCCATGGGGGAGCTGCGACACCTGGCTCACATCGGACGTGCCGGCAAGGCGGATATGTTCGGAGACCTCACTTTCCTCCAGGTATGTGCACACTTTATTATTATTTTTGGGGGGGCACCACGGTGGCGAATTGTTAACTACCTCGCCTGGTATGCCAGAGGTCGTGGGTTTGACCCCGACCCTGATGCCTGCTCTATATTTGTAGTTTGCTTGTCTCTCTCTCCGTGGTCGCGTGGATTTTTATCCAGGTCCTCCGGCTTTTTCCTCCACATTTAGAAACATGCGTTTAGAATATTTGGCTGCTATAAATGTCCACATGATAAGCCACGTCGCTGAACTTTCATTTGTGGCTGGACGCTTCTGAAAAAGAACCATATAGCTCAATGGGCCTTACCTGGGGAAAAAAAATTGTTTTAGTTATATTTTATCACTTAGTTTTTTTTGTCTTTTTTTCCAAACTTCAACCCGATTTTACCATCGTTAAGGTTTAATTCCACCCAGGTCTGGTTCAGTTAATGACCCAGAAAATATGCCAGACCTGGCACACCACATCCAGTATACCTATAACTATGGCTGTGGATACTCGTCACGTGTCTGTCGATACTAGTGACCCCGAAAGCATTCAGTGACAAATTAAGTCCTGCCTATCAATCAGTATCATGTCATGAAATGCAGAATCCATTCAACCCGCCTCCCAAGGTAGAGAATGGCCTGTGGAAGCTGATATCATATAATAACTGCTGTACTTGTGCTTACCTTAACTTTATTTTACACTCCGATCGTTTTTATTCTTTATTGCTGTCACATTCTGACCTACCCCTGCTGGATATCTGTGACAAAGAGCTTCATAGCTCATTGGATTTCTCCAGAATAAATAAATATTCTGATGATTCTATAAATTGGCCTCTGGGCCACACAGTAGAGGTGTCAGTCGCATGATGGTCAAACTGATATTTCTAATTCTCAGAGCCAGAATTTCAACAAAATAAGTACGGAGCTAAATTGAATATACTTCAGCTTTGTTGTACAGTTGTTGGTGACCGGACTTAGGCAATCAACTTGCCCCACTTGATCGAGAGTCAGATCTTATCATGGGTGACCACCTGAATTCAGGATTTCACCAGTTCTAGCTCATTGCTCTGACCCCTGAACTATCTGGCTACTTACAATAAAATCACATCTCAGTGAAAAAAAAACTGTCATTCAGAAATTGGTTTTGTAATAGTGAAAGTGGTTTTATGGTGCTCATGTCTTATATTCAGCCCTGAGCCACTACTGGTGAAAGTTTGCTGTTCATATGGTGGGGAACAATGGGTGGGAGCAGGGAAGACAACCAACCACTGGTGACTTCCCACAAAGTGCTACTCATTTCATTGACCTAAAGGGATAAAGACCTGATTTGAAGCCTAACGAGAATTGAACTTAACCCCTAACTAGAATTTAACTTTTAACTTTCTGAATTGCGAGCCACTCGCTTTGACTACGGCGCCACTGAATCATATTGTTGGTGGCATGTTTAGCAACAACGGTGATGGACTTTGTTCAAACAGGAAAGCGTCACTGTGTCTCAGAGCCGTCAGGAGGATCTGGCATCGGGGACGTTTGTCCAATTCATTATTAATAAGTGTCTTTCATGTGGAAGGAAACCAAATTACCCAGTGCTTTGTTAGATATAGGATGAAAACAAGCAACCGGCACCCTGCGTTAATGCCACTAATGTCTGGGCGTGCAGGGCCGATTTGACTTGGTGCCAGATTTTCGAGGGCGTTTATCAACTGCGAGCGAAGGCTACATGGATGGACGAGAAGCAGACCTGTCGGCCGATCAGCCCATGCTCAAGACCGCAGTGTCGCTGCCAGCCTTGATCGAGCCTCAGGCCTTGCCGCGAGAGCACGAGGAGCACAGCGGATCTGTGAGCGTGGGCTCCAAAGGAGCGCTGATGGTGGCACCACCCAAGCCTCCCCGGCTTTACCTGGACCAGGCTGCCGACGAGGTGAGCTACGCGACGGGCTTGCCAACGTCACCACTTTTCTGCTACACAGGTCAAAAATGTCTTCTAGTGTGAAAAGCGCATGTGTTATGGATCTGATGATGTCACGGTGACATCAGCCGTGCATGTCATGACGTCACAATGAGTCCTCAAGTGCCTATTTTTTAGTGACGTTAAACAGAAAGAAAATCGGTCTCAATCGAGCTCATTGAAAAGTTTCAAGTAGTAAGATGATTTTACATGTAAGGTACATTATTTCATACAACTAATTTTACATTATATTCTTGGTTCTTTCGGTAAAGTCACGTTGAAGGGAAACAATAAAATAATAAAATATATATAAAACAATACAATTCTCACGACGTGAGCATTTTATATATATTTTATTATTTTATTGTTTCCCTTCAACGTGACTTTACCGAAAGAACCAAGAATATGAATCACTGCAGTCACGAAAGCTTTAAATCAAAATTTAATTTTACATTGATTCCCCACAACGTTGTTAGGTAGGGTTTGGCTTCCTTAAATACATAAACTTATCTGTGGCAATTTCCATAACTCACGGAAAGCCTATCTCGGCAATATTTCATTTTGATCTCAACAATGGAAAAACAAACATTCAGATTTATTTATTTATTATTCTTGGACACAGTAAACAGGGGGGACCGAGGGGGAGGGGAAGGAGGAGCGTCACCTAAAATTGAGGATGGGGATGGTCACAGAGGAGCCCATATCCACATGGTCAATGTAAAAACTCCACACGTGACAGAGCACTTCCTAAGAGCACACCTGGGAGGTCTCGTGTTCCCTGCAACAGAATCGGGCAGAAGGGAGGTTTGGTGGTATCCTGATTTCTTTACCTTGAACTTGAGTGCCTTCCAAGCTACCAAAGAAGCAGCTTCTGAATGGGGGTGGGGGAGACTTATTTATTAGTTGGGAGAAAGTGAATTTCCAGTCCCCCCCCCCCCTCCAATAGAAATTGCCACTGCTTAAAATTCTGATCTGGGGTCAACGGAGTTCATCATTCAACCCTTCCTGTTCAATACATTGAGTACCACTTTGTGTGAATTCGACGTTGGTTGTCCTAAGAATACCATTATATTCCTGACATAGCAATATGGAATTTCCACCACTGACTGGCTCAGGGCTATAAACAGATGAGGGCAGACCCATGTTTGCTTTGGCAGTGATGTAACAACAATTCCGCAATACAGCATGAGGTTACATAGATTGATGAAGTTCCTCAATCATGACCAGGATGACAGTACAATTAAATATTTTTTCACGGGAAAAATATAAAAGTCAAAAACTCCTCACCGCAATTTGCAGTAACATTGAATATTTAGAAATCATCATCATAATGATATATACAAGATTATGAACATGTACAGTATCTATATGTATTTCGTGGATAATATTTAGACCAACGGCCCTGATTAAAACATTCTTGATGTCTAAAATAATTAAAATATTGATCGACAGAGACCTTTCTCAATTTAACGCTGCATGAAAGCCTCTGCATGCCATGCCAATCGTTGGGGTTGTTTGGCTATACTTCACCACACTGGTGGTCAGTGCTGGTCGGTGAAGGGGTGGGGAGGAGCCCATGACCAGCACTTCGCTCAGTCACCTTTGTCTCCTGAATGGCGAAGTTCACACACCGCACCAGGTACTCATTTGAGGCTGAGTCGACCTAAGAGAGGCCCGAGACCGATTCAGATAATCGTCACCGGTGTTGGCCGTGTTCGCAGCGTGGCGTGCTAACCACTGCGCCACCACTCCCCACGCTATGTACACACGTAACTATATCAGGATTATGTTAGCAACTCCCTCGGGCTGAAACATAACAAATGACTTTGAGAAAGGTCTGTGGCAGAGCCTCGGGGGGTGGGGTGGAGGCACTGCTTCCCATGTGCGCTCTTTCCCCTCTCTGCCCTGCCCACCTCTGCACGCAATTGGAAATGACCTCTTCAGGCAGTGACGTCAATGGCGTGATTTATTTTATTTGGGACTAACTCTTACAACAATCGTTAGAATGTTTTTGTATTGTTTTAGCCATTGGCAGTCGTGCCTTAGATGTTCCGGAGCTATTCTTGCTTACCAATACTGTATGTTTTACTGATTGCAATAATTAATATCATGACTTAAGAAAATACTGATTGTTTATTGTGACTGGCATACATTTGCTTCATTGTTTTAAGCCTTATATAATGTAGTTCAGTGTAATAATACACGAATACAATACATTTGTGAGATTGGAAAGCTATCGGTATATGATGCTGTCTTGTATGTGTATATTGAACTTTTTTCGCATCATACGTATAACAAATGCTACACAAGAGAAAGGTATTTGGTTATTTTTTTTTATTAATTGCAGACATCGTTCTATGATTTAGATATGTTGTGTTTGCTTAAACATTGAACAAATAATTATACACATTTCATTCCAATAATTATGGTTCACTTATTTGATGATGTAAACTGTACAGGGCATATATTAACTCCTGCACTGATTTTTATATTCTGTCTTCATCATAAAGAATTAAGTTGCATTGATTCTAACAGACAAATCCAAGATAATCAGTGGAATGTCTGTCCTCAACAATTTAACACAGGGTATCGATAACAGTCCACTGTATGGGAAGTGAAAAGTGTTATTGTCAGTGACCTAAACATTGCTCCATGTTTTTCTCAGGATGATGTCAAGTCCAACAGAAACACAGAGGACAAAGAAGATGGAAGTGCTTCCATTGGCTGTGAGTCAGTCTACCACGCAACATCACAAGATCTGGATTCCTTGCCCACGAACGGAACAATGAATTCCTCACGCCAGGTATCTCATGGCACCAGCGTTAGCAACGGCCACAATGTGGGCACCGAGCGACTTTCCGAATCCCAAGACTCGGACGTGGAAAGTGAGTTGCCTGAGAAGAATGCAGCATTGCGGAGCAGTGGGTATGGGCATGTCGCCAATGGAGGACTCACAAATGGGCTAGGGTTTCCATGGGAAGCTCACCGAAACGCAGAGGCGGCACCGCGGATGGATCGGCAGCAGATTTCCCCGCGTGCTTCGGAAGGACGTAAGGGCAATGTGCACCCTCTCGCCATTTCGTCGACCAATCACAGAGACGGCCAAGAGGTGACCAAGCCAAGGTCGGGTTCCCTGATTTCGCTGCAGCTTGACCTTGGACCATCCATGCTGGAAGACATCCTTAGTGTCATGGAGGACAAAAATGAAGATGCCAGCTTTAACCGGCAAAGGCCCAAAACTTACATCATGTGAGAAAAGCTGGTTCGGTCGAAGTGTGTCATTCATTTTGAGAGGGTCAAGTACTGTATTAGTTTTAGCAGTACAGTACTGCCATGACTTTATGATTGTATGGTACATTCTGAAGCTTTCGGACACAAAAACATTAATCGAGCACTCCTCAAATGCCCCTTATCAAACTATTTTGTTTGTTATAACTTTTGCCTGGAGGTTCCAAGCTTGCCTTTTGTACACTTACAAAACATTCAAGCAGCAACTGTTGTTTTAAATATATATTCCACAAATAACAAAGTGACTTTAATAAACCTAAATATATATTGCCTACCTAAATTATAAACTGCATGGGGCAAAAATATATGGAAACACAATAAAGCTTTAGCTTCTCGGTGGCTGTTTACAACTTTAGTGGAGTCACGATTGTCATGCTGTTTTTATAATATATTTTGAAACTTAATTAACAAAAGTAGAAGGATGGATGTTCTTAAAATTAGATGTCCCTTTGTGCGGTAATGGGGGGTAAGGGGAACAGGCCTAAAAAATGCATGACACATGTTACTTTAGGCTGTTATTACCTTCCCGAAACCACCGGTTACTCCTGAGAATGCGGCGTAATATCGGCTTTTGTAGGGTGCATCTGGTGACCCCCACTTCTATTTATGTTCTCAGATTCATTGTGTCCTCTGTGGAGCACTGTGAGTGCACGAAGGCATGGGCGCACGATGCCAAGTGCGTTCCAGAAGTGGCGCACAGAGCGCACCCAACACTCCGTGGTGCAGACGCTGTAAAACGGCACAATACAAAGAGCACTTTTAAACTCGGCTGGGTTGCAACTAGAAGGGCAGGCACGGGCGGATTGCCATCATTTTACAAGTGGCAATACGTGGAGGAAATGTGGGAACAGGGATGAGGCAAGGCTACAGATGTTATGGATGATTAAATCGGCATCTACTGCATGGAGGAGCTGTAACTAAGGGGATGTGGCATGAAACCGCTGTTTGAATCCCTGCCTCAGATTCACTTTGTTGTTTGTATCTCCCCCTTGGCTCCAGTGTACGTATCAGCACTGAGCGATGCTGTTTTTGTTAACATAATTAATCTTAATTATAATATATAGCACAGCTATTTTGAGGGGAGAGAGTAAAGTTTCCTATTCGCTCCCCATGTCTGTCAAGTGGGGTGGGGGTGGCTATAGGCCCCCTCCGTGTTGCTGCCAATGAAGGGAGATCATAGGTGTTTTGGCCGATAAGTACTAAAAAGTGTACATGAAATACATAGTTAAGAAGTGAACAGCGTATTTAGCACATATTCTATGGGTCTTTCTGTAAAGTCACGTAGATAGGTTCATTTTCTACGTGACTTTACCGAAGGACCCACAGAATATGAATTCCTGCAGTCACGAAAGCTTTGAGTCGAGTATTTAGCACATTTTCTCAGAACAATTTGAAGTGGTTAGCTTTGGGTTTTCTTTTTAATACATTTGTATTTCAAAAAATGTTTGTGTACATGTGAAAGATGGGACTTTTAGAGCTGGAAATGAAAAAAGTATGCATTCTTTATTTTTCAAAACCCTTCAGTACTGTCCTCCAAATTCTATAATATGATTGTTTTCTACATTTCTGAGTAGTTACTCCAGCGGCAGTTTGTGTCATCTTCGAGAATCGCTGCTTGCCTCATAACTTTATAAGAACAGTTGGGTAAGTGTACAGGAGTGATACATTTCTGATGATCATCAGTCAAGATCAATCTACTGCTGGATGAAGGCCTCCCCATCTAAGCCATCGCCATCTCTCATGGTGCTGCGATATAACAATGCACATTGTCGCAAGCTCGTCTCCTACAGTGAGGGAAAAAAGTATTTTATCCCTTGCTGATTTTGTACGTTTGCCCACTGACAAAGAAATTATCAGTCTATAATTTTAATGGTAGGTTTATTTGAACAGTGAGAGACAGAATAACAACAACAAAATCCAGAAAAACACATGTCAAAAATGTTATAATTTAATTTGCATTTTAATGACGGAAACAAGTATTTGACCCCCTCTCAATCAGAAAGATTTCTGGCTCCCAGGTGTCTTTTATACAGGTAACGAGCTGAGATTAGGAGTACACTCTTAAAGGGAGTGCTCCGAATCTCAGCTTGTTACCTGTATAAAAGACACCTGTCCACAGAAGCAATCAATCAGATTCCAAACTCTCCACCATGGCCAAGACCAAAGAGCTCTCCAAGGATGTCAGGGACAAGATTGTAGACCTACACAAGGCTGGAATGGGCCACAAGACCATTGCCAATCAGCTTGGTGAGAAGGTGACAACAGTTGGTGCGATTATTCACAAATGGAAGAAACGGCGTGAGAATTTTATTGTCTTATTTTATTTTATTATTTTATTCTCATTCTACGTGACTTTACCGAAAGAACCAAAGAAGACAAAAGAACTGTCAATCTTCCTCGGCCTGGGGCTCCATGCAAGATCTCACCTCGTGGAGTTGCAATGATCATGAGAACGGTGAAGAATAAGTCCAGAACTACACGGGAGGATCTTGTCAATGATCTCAAGGCAGCTGGGACCATAGTCACCAAGAAAACAATTGGTAACACACTACGCCGTGAAGTACTGAAATCCTGCAGCGCCCGCAAGGTCCCCCTGCTCAAGAAAGCACATATACATGCCCGTCTGAAGTTTGCCAATGAACATCTGAATGATTCAGAGGACAACTGGGTGAAAGTGTTGTGGTCAGATGAGACCAAAATGGAGCTCTTTGGCATCAACTCAACTCGCCGTGTTTGGAGGAGGAGGAATAATGCCTATGACGCCAAGAAAACCATCCCCACCGTCAAACATGGAGGTGGAAACATTATGCTTTGGGGGTGTTTTTCTGCTAAGGGGACAGGACAACTTCACCGCATCAAAGGGACGATGGACGGGGCCATGTACCGTCAAATCTTGGGTGAGAACCTCCTTCCCTCAGCCAGGGAATTGAAAATGGATCGTGGATGGGTATTCCAGCATGACAATGACCCAAAACACACGGCCAAGGCAACAAAGGAGTGGCTCACGAAGAAGCACATTAAGGTCCTGGAGTGGCCTAGCCAGTCTCCAGACCTTAATCCCATAGAAAATCTGTGGTGGGAGCTGAAGGTTCGAGTTGCCAAACGTCAGCCTCGAAACCTTAATGACTTGGAGAAGATCTGCAAAGAGGAGTGGGAGAAATCCCTCCTGAGATGTGTGCAAACCTGGTGGCCAACTACAAGAAACGTCTGACCTCTGTGATTGCCAACAAGGGTTTTGCCACCAAGTACTAAGTCATGTTTTGCAGAGGGTCAAATACTTATTTCCCTCATTAAAATGCAAATCAATTTATAAAAATTTTGACATGCGTTTTTCTGGATTTTGTTGTTGTTATTCTGTCTCTCACTGTTCAAATAAACCTACCATTAAAATTATAGACTGATCATTTCTTTGTCAGTGGGCAAACGTACAAAATCAGCAGGGGATCAAATACTTTTTTCCCTCACTGTATATTTATCAGCTAAACACGATAGCCTACGACAAATGGTGATTTGCAATGTAAATATTGTGTCATTTTACACTTGCAGTTTAATTAATTGCTGTGAACTTACATTGTTGAGAGTCTTTAATCATCATTATCACAAGCCATGGTCTATCCACTAGTGGATGAAGGACTCCTCAATGCCGTCACCATCCCCCTGCAATGCCACAATCCACCTCACTCCTGCACACACACCGGTCTCATCGCCCCAAATGATTAAATAATTATAGACGTATAAAATAAGTTAATTATATCATGACAAAAAGGAAATAATTATAAGTTGGTACATAAAAACACTTTGGTGGTCATTTAAATACATTTTCTGGGCCCTTATCAAGGAAAAAAAGTATAATGTTATATTAGTATTGATGTATTGGGTAATACAGTACTGTACACATTTATTTTAAACATTTAATCAAATATGTAGTTTGCGCGTGCTTGTCTCAACGTACTATATTTGTGTGTAGTGTAATGTATATAGTCGAAAGGGTAAATATATTTTAATATTCTGTACATATACAGAATGCTGGATTTATGTGGCATTATCTTGCGGTAAATAATTTTATGACATACATAATTGGCAATGTGCGGCGAATGCTTTTGTAATGACTGTGTCGTCAATGCCACTGCTCTTTGCTTTTCACTGTACAGAACCTATCCACTTTGAATTACATTTGCTGTGACTAATGCATAGCGTGCGACTGACTTTTTGTGTTCACAGAAGCATTAAACCATCATCCAATACTTCCTACTGTCAATTGCCAGCACGGGAGGGTTGCCACCTATGCGGTACCAAAAACAACTAGGGCATATCATGGAAAGAAGAATATCTGAGAATACCTGAGTGAAGAGTGTAGAATTTTCACGCTAATCTATTATCTTGAGTGGGGTATCGTTATGCAGATGACAAAAATGGCACTTGTCATGCCCTAGGACCACTTACAGATTTCCCAGGACAGCGACCACAAAAAGAGGACAATCCTGGGAAAACCAGGCTAGGGTGGCAACCCTCCCCAAGGTTTCTAAAACTGCTGTATACATTCAATATCTGTGTACATAGGCAAGATTATCACCTGGGATGTGTCTTGATTCTATTAAACCTTGGAAGCTAAGCAGGTTTGAGCCTGGATCGTGCTTATATGGGCGTTCACCGGGCACAGAAATACAGATGTAGTAGGCATTGTGAGCAAGAGATGGCAGTGTAGCCAAGTCCAACAATGTTTGCCAACCCGCATACTCTCGTGACCTTCGCCAGCCAGCACTGACCAGCGTGGTTATCTTTGGTCAAAAAACCCACAGCCTGCGCAGCATCGGTAGGCCCTCATCAAGCAGTGGGTTGACAAACCTGTTGCACGTGTACAAACGACTGTTAATGAAATAATGATGAGTGAAGATGTGTTGGGATAAAGCTTACAGTGGTGGGGGATGAAGTTGGTTATATGGCAGAACATGCAATTCTAGATTTAAAGCTTTCGTGACTGCAAGGATCCATAATCTTTGGTTCTATTCGGTAAAGTCACGTAAAAAAAACCAACAAAAAATAAAAAAAATTCACGACGTTTTGGCCACAACACAAGTGGCCTTCATCAGGTGAAGGGACCAGACTGTCTAGAGGACAGTGCTGGAGTGCTGTCCTCTAGACAGTCTGGTCTCTTCACCTGATGAAGGCCACTTGTGTTGTGGCCGAAACGTCGTGAATTTTTTTTATTTTTTGTTGTTTTTTTACGTGACTTTACCGAATAGAACCAAAGAGTACAGAACATGCAACTTGCAGTCAGGTGGCCGGTTAATTTCCCTGTGGTAGGAGCACAATCGCGCACTCTTTCACACCATGTAATGGGATGCCGTAGGAACATTCGGATATGCTTGCACCATTCGACTCAACGTCTGCTGTGACATGCTCATTGACGCGCCCACAGGAATGATAATCTTGGCGTTCATTAGTGGAGACGAGCACCGGTCATTAGACGGAGCAGCAGGCACCATGACAGAAAGGAAAGACGGAGAGTCCTGTCAGTGGCGTGACTGTCGAGTGTGCAGGCGGTGCAATTGCGCTGGGGCCCCATGGGCCAGGGCAGGGGGCCCAGGCGCCAGGTTCTGAAGGAGGAAATTGGATCATGGAGTCTCACTTCAATCCTTGCACCAAGGCCCATTTAAAACACACCATGCCACTGAGTTGTGTCGCCAGTTTAACTTGTTGCACTATTCTTCAAGCAGATTGCTATTAAGTATGCGGTTCAATCACTCCTACGTGGCATCGCTTCACGTCTAAGTTCGTGCGCAGCCCTATAAATAACCAGCGCATGCTACTGGTTGCAGAAGGGCCTCTGCTAGCGGGAACTCGAGAAAGCCCCTCTAGAGGGTGTTTTTGCGTACCCCACCACACTGGAAGTACCCACACTTTACTCCACCACATGCAGCCTACGGATCGACTAAACGTGGTGTACCCATTCGGTTGGGGCATTTAAGAAACCTGCACCATTGTTTCAACTGCCTGTCGTGCCAGGAGATAGAATTGAGGACCTCTGCATCGCAAGTCCAGTGTGCTAACCATTACACCACAGCAGCGCATCTACTCCAGCAAATGAAACTCACTATCATGAAGCGAGGCATGTGGAGGTTGTGTGGTGAGTTACAGCATGTGAGATACCGCTCACGTGGGCTGTGTTGGTTGTGGGAATGAGTGCGTCCCAGTCTCAATGCGACAAAGGAAAGAGAAGAATTACAGCTAAATCCTTCCTGCCCTTTCCCGGCCCAAAGCGGAGGTGCACAGAGGACTGATTGCCAAATAAACCTGCTTCCTTAAACACTGGCAGCTCTTCAATTAAAGTTGCATGCATTGTTTAATTGCATGCAATGACCGTGCCACAAATGCCGTTCTATTTTTCACGGGTTCCCCTTCAGAAATTACTTCACCATCCCGTTCACGAGCCCACTGTTGAACATCAATTGCAATCTCGCGACGTGTTCGCAGGGACAGGACT